CTATGGGCAAAATACTGAATGATATAAAAAGACTGGAAGGAATACATAGAGTCATTATACCAAAAAAGGAAATGAATATGCTGTTCCACCATTTCAAGAGATAACCTTTGATCAAGAGCCATTGGTACTGAAGGAAGAAGTCCAAGGTACCCTGAAGGCACTGACAAAGAACAAGATTCAGGGAATTGATGTAGCACTGAAAGCACTCGCTTATCTATGGCAAAAAATTTGGAAGACAGCTCCTTGGCCAGTTAAATGGAAACTATCCATAGTTGTGCCCATTCCAAAGAGAGGTGACCTATAAGAATGTGGAAATCATCAGACAATATCATTAATATTACATGTAAGTAAAATTTTTGCTAAAGATATTTTTAAAAACTTCTACAACAGTTACAGGGAACTTCCAGAGGTTCCAGCTGGGCTTAGATGAGGACATGAAAGAAGGGACATCATTGCTGATATTAGAGAATACCAGAAAAATGTTCACCTGTGCTTCATTGACTATGAACACAGGCAAACATTTCTTTCAACTGTGTGGACCATGACAAGCTATGGAAGACATTTTGGAGAATGAGTATTCTGAAACACTTAATTGTGCTCAGAAGGAACCTGTACAAAGACCAGGAGGCAGTCATTCAAACACAGAAGGGGACCCTGAATGGTTTAAAATTAGGAAAGGTGTGTGCCAGGGCTCTACTTTCACCATAACTGAGAAGCTAGATTATGTGAAGAAGAACATAGCATTAGGATTGGCGGAAGACACATTAACAACCTGTGATAATAGATGATACAAACGAGTTTGCTGTAAGTGAAGAGGACTTAAAATACTAGTGATGAAAATCACATACCACAACCTTCAGCATGGGTTGCAATGAAATGTAAAGAAAATAAAACCCTCACCACTGATCCAATAAAATAATATCATGACAAAGGAAGAAAATATTGAACTTGTCAAAGACTTCATTCTTCTTGGATCAACTATCAACAAACATGGAAGCAGCAGTTAAGAAATCAAAAGACATACTGCATTAGGCAAATCTACTGCACAAGACCTCTTTAAGTGCTCAAGAGCAAAAATATCAGTTTGAGGACTAAAGTGTGCCTCACCGAAGTCAATAGCTTCATATGAAAATAAAATTTGGACAGTGAATAAGGAAGACCACAGAAGAATTGATGTATTTGAGTTATGGTGTTGGAGAGGAACATTAAAAGTGCCAGGGACTGTTAGAAGAAGAAACAAATCTGTGTTGGAAGAAGTACAATAAGAATGCTTCTTAGAAACCAGGATGAGGAGACTTGTTTCTTACACTTTGGACATATTATCAGGTGGGACCAGTTCCTAGAGAAGAATATCATGCTGGGTAAATTGAAGGCTCAGTAAAAAAGAGAAAGCTTCCTCCTGAGATGGATTGACACAGTTGCATGAACATTGGACTCAAGTTTAAAAAAAATATTGTGAGGATGATGCAGGACCGGGCAATGCTTATTTTGTTGTACCTACTAGAACTGAGTAGAGGGCATCTAACAACAACAAATAATTGACGATATTCTAAAGATGATGAATCATTGTATATGAACGAATGATGATAAGTTTAATAACCAAGTAAATATTAATGGATCAAGCATTGGGTAAAAGTTGTTCCTTAGAGACCTTTTTTATATTAGTTTACTCCTGCTATTGGAGTGGTGCTGCGGGTTAATGTGCTGGACTGTAAAGGTGGTTTGAATGACAAGGTCAGCAGTTCAAGCTCACCAGTTGCTCATCAGAAATCCTATATTGGGTCATTATGAGTTGGAACCAATTCAACTACACATAACAACTATTATTGTAGCTGTTAGGTGCTGTCAAGTCGATGCAAAAAATTGAAGATACTAAAAAAGATATACCTCTATGGTCCTGGGAATATCAAGCATAACACACAGAGGTAAGAACTACTCTAAGAAACCTTAAAAAAAATGGTGTCACACCAAGAACAGTTTTTCATCTTCACTTAGTGGTATGATAGAGTCCTCTTCACAGAGGACTTCAGAGACCACCTGGCATAACTCACAGTTCTTCCAAGTTTACAGGATCTTTCTTGGATAAAATGGGTGAAAACATTCATGTTTCATGAGTTTTCTGATTTGGTAAGCTGTACTCAAATTTTGTATATGTATATTGTTGTTGTTGTGAAGTGCCGTCTAATAGATTCTTACTCATAGTGACACTATCTAGGGTTTCTGAGGAGCAGTTGGTGGGTTTGAACTGCTGATCTTGTGGTTTGCTGTCCAATGTTGATCCTACAGTGCCATACCAGAAGTTCATGTGTATACAGATATGAATATATAAATATATTATTTAATTGCAGGCCAACTCTTTGATCTGTGAGTTCAGGAAAGAAGAAGAAAGCATAGTATCCCTTTCACTTATCAGCGTCATGATGCTGACTGGGAATATTCTAGGTGAACACTCTAAGTACTGCTGTTGTTATTGTTGTTAAGTGCTGTCGAGTCGGTTCGGCCTCACAGTAACACAGTATAAGGTTTCCAAGGAGTGACTGTTGAATTTGAGCCACCGACCTTAAGGTTCAAATCATCCTTGCAGTTCTGTGCTTATCCTACAGTGCCACACCTGAAGTCCTATAAAATACCCTTGTTGTTGTTGTTGTTGTTGTCAGGTGCCATCGAGTTGAAACTGACTCATAGCGATCCCATGCACAGCAGAATGAAACAATGTCCGATCTTGGGCCAACCTCACTACTGCTGCCACACTTGAGTACATCAATGATGTCACCTGGCTGATCCATCTCGTTGGGGGTCTTCCTCTTTTTCTCTGACCCTCCACCTTACCCAGCACGACATCCTTCTCCAGAGACTGTTTCCTCCTGAAAATATGTCCAAAGTATGAGAGACTAAACTTAGCCATCCTAGCCTCCAAGGAACACTCTGGCTGCACTTCTTCCAAAACAGATCTATTGGTTCTTTTGGCAGTCCATGGCACTTTTAGTATTCTCCTTCAACACCACAACTCAAAGGCATCAATTCTTCTATGATCTTCCTTATTCACTGTCCAGCTTTCACATCCATACAAGATTATTGAAAATACCATGGCCTGGGTCAGACGCACCTTAGTCCTCAAGCTGACATCTCTGCTCTTCAACATATAAAATACCCTTACATTCTTAAAAGTCTTTATAAATACCCTTATGTTCCTTTCATAATAACTTCATGAGCTCACACAAAATTTTGAAGGAATTCACTGGGTTACTTAGTGTCAAGTCTTTGAGATATACAGAATATAAGAAATACTGAGACATAGTCAATGGCTCTAAGAAGTGATAGCATAAAAATACACAAAAATATCTTTATCCAACTTTCCTTCTCATTGATTTTTAACTTTATGCTTTTAAATGCCTTGGGGGAATTGAATGTCTCTATTAAACAAAAATTCCCATGTTTCTTATGGGAAAACATTATAATTGGCTAGCTGCTACATACTGTAAGAATTATTTCATATCTAGTAAAACCAGATACTGCATTTCCTTTTCAAGAGCTATTTAACTTCTATAGTGCCTTTATAAAGTTAGTGTATATGTTCAAACCTTAGTATTTTTGCTTGGAGGTATGAGAAAAAGAATCTGTAAACTCTGAAAAAGAATACACTGAAGTATTGAAGTTTGGAATAATGATATTACCTGATTACACTACATGAATGTATTCATATTCTGTAACAAACAAAGAAGTAAACAAAAAGGACAATTTATTTATTATTGAAACAAGTTCATCACCAGTTAGGTAGTGGGAAGAAACATTCAACTTGTCTTTAAATTCCATTTTAAATGGTTTATATATTGTTATAACTTAATCAAATTTTAGGGTTTTTGTTGTTTTGTATTTTTAAAATACGAACTTTGTGATTTTAAATAATCAAATTTATCTCCAGAAAAGTTATGAATATTTTTCTTTGTTCTGTACATATGTAAATTGACATACAAATCAGCAGATAAAAGGCAAGACTATAAATATGCAACAAGAATATTATTTTATTTTTAATAAGCACAAATAAAAAAATTAATTGATTTACAACATATTTTAAGTGATTTCTTAATAAATATTACTTTTGCTTAAAATCATACACAATCCCCCCAAAAAAATTAAAACATGTGTTGCCTCAAAATTTTAACTTTATTTTTTTAGTTATTTATATTTAGAAAAATGAATTTCTTGAGATTTAAGTTTTTTAGTTTGGAGTTGTTTTCTGAGTTCTAGGAATTGCAAAATATTCCTTGGCCATTTTATTACCCTTTAAAAATATTTCTTCTATATACTGGACTGAAAAAAAACCCAAAAACCCAGGTTCAGGTAGAAATCTGAAATGCACTATTTTGAGTTGTTTGTAAAACTTTAAAAATGAGCTGGTAAAAACACTTAAGAAAATATTGCTTTTGGTATAATGATTTAAAAACATTCAAAATAAATATATTATTTGATGAAAAAGAAAGAAGAAGGTTTTAAATAGGACAATGTTTTAAATCATGGAAACTAAAAAAAAGAAAATAAATTCTTAAGTGAAAATATAACTATCGCATTGTTAATCTCTTCTTCTGACTCTTTTCAAGCTAAAAGTTATACCACCAATTTTATTTTCACTAGCAAACTTAACATATTCCAATTCAACGTTCCTGTGTAAAATTTGAATACTTATTTCCTGTATTTAAGAAAAACATTATAATTATTTAAACTACTGGATATTGCTGCTGCTGTTAAGTGCCGTGGATTCGGTTCCGACCCATAGCGACCCTGTACAGGGTTTCCGAGGCTGTAAATCTTTACAGGAGCAGAATGCCTCATCTTTCTCCCGCAGAGCGGCTGGTAGTTTCGAACTGCTGGCCTTAAGGTTCACAGCCCGATTCGTAACCACTACGCTACCAAATGGCTCAGTTTGATAACTCTATAGGTACAGTCTCACATGCAAACAATAAAATTATTATTTAAATATGGCTATAAATCCAAGGATTCACCTGATAAGAGCTTTTTCTCCAAAATAGTCTCCCTTCTGTAATATTTTTATTAGTTGTGGCTGATCGTGGCCTTCTGTACTCTGTGTGACTTGTACCTAATCAATGTTAAACAAAACAAAAAACAAAAAAGAGAAGTTAAACATATACCTATTCAATCAACTCTTACCATCTATAGAGATGTGAGTAAGGACAAGGACAAGGCGATATCTGAGTTTTGACTTTAATTCTAATGTAGTTAGGACAATCTAACTACATTTGGCTCACTTTCTGATGGTAAACCCTGACATTTAACATCAAATGACTAAACCCTCTGAAAAGAAAGATTCTCCATTCAAATATCACCTTCCAAAGAAAAAAATTACATGTGAATTTGGTAATTCCTTTCTAGGGATCTTCAAAGCAAACAATAGTTGTCCTGTGGGAACTTTGATTATTTCAAAAAGTCTAATAGTGATGACAAATTAATCAAGAATAAGGCTGAGTCCTGAGATGATGCTGTAGGATAAGCATTGGACTGAAAGATCATTTGAAATGCAAGGTAGGTGGTTCAAACCCACCAGTCACTCCTTAGAAACCCTATATAGGGTCACTAAGAGTTAGAACCCACTCAAAGGCACTTAACAACAACAATAACAATACAGATGAATATCAAGAGTCCTCAGATGTCCAGAATGATTCACTGAAGCGTATATACTTCTTCAAACTGAACACAAAACATGAATATGGTGGGAGTCCACAATTTTCATTATTGTCTCAAACTGGCTCATGGCCCAGGGAGATTTAAGAACCTCATGGCAGAGACAAACAAAAACTCAGTATTTGTTTTTTGGTGGTCTAGAAATATTCCTGTCCAACATAATAACCAGGGTTGCTTAATGAGCTTAAGAAATTCTGATTGGCATTTATGCTTGTCACAATGAATTAAAATAAAGAATAATCATAACAAATACAATTTGTTTATTAGTTAGAATTCTTTTAAATTATGGGGTCTGGAGTGAAGAGAAAAGTGATTCTGAGCACTGAAGAGTTTAGGAAGTATGACACTATTCTGCTAAAATTTTCCTTCACTGGGGACCTAGTTCAAAGTTTAACCACAAACCTTTTACAAAGGGCAGTGTCTGATAATAAATTCTTCCATAGGAAAAAGAATGTATATTAAAACTCAGTTCATAGACACAGATGCTCAAGATTTTGCTCTTTCTTTCAATATTTCACAAATGCTTTTCGTTTCATTTAATAGGCAGAACTATATTACCCTCTGATTGTAATATCTGTTAGGTATGAATATGTTACAGATCTGATCCTGGACCCTTGAGCTGATTGAAAATCATGCATGTGTACCTAGAGGGGATAAGCAATTTACATAAAACGAAGCTGATTCAAAGAAACTCAAATGACTTAACCTAAAGGTTGCTAAGAAGTTACTGTCTCAGCTGCAACCCATCTTAAGTCTCTGTGGCCCCAAGCCTGACAGTCCAAACCCCAAGGATCTCTTCTGGTAGAAGCTCCTTTACCATTTCAATGTAGAGGACTTTTTATGTTACCATAGATCATTGTTGTGTTTGTGGCAAACTGAAAACACTTTTAAATTTTACTTTATGTAAGTTTTAATTAATATTTACCTTTCCTTTTGCTAAAATGTAAAAGGTACTTCCTTCTTCCCCCTCTCTAATGATGTAATCGCCTTTGTCATAGTATTCCTATTGGGGTGAAAGGAAAAGAAGATGTTAGATTAAGCAGAAACATAAATGAAATGAAACTTCTTTTGTCTTTAAAATAGGTGTTCCACACCTGCTCCTTTTCTTTTATGCTTATTGTAACTAAGCTTGTTTTACACTGCACATAAACTGGGAAAGTAAAGAGGTTTTGCCTTATCACTTGTAATTATGCTTCTCTTTAGCAGAAAATAATTCACTTGGGATACGAATTTTACGCTTGCAGACCCAGAGCATGAACGGAAAAGAGAAATGCAAAAAAATCACTAATAAACAAGCACAAATTTCGCCAAAATCAATATAAATGTATAGTGATCTTGAACAGTCTGAAAATTGTGTTGTTTTTTTTAGTTGCTGTCAAGCTGATTTGGATATAAGTTGATCCCGTATGTTTCACAGACCACATTCCAAGGCATCTCTGGCTAGGCTCAAACCAGCAGCCTTATTATTAATCCGGGAGTACTTAATTGTTTATGCTACAAAATAACTCTTTAAAAAATGCATCTTTTATTGATGTTGCAGTCTTGTCGAGTTGGTTCCAACTCATTGTGACCTTATGTACAACAGAATAAAAATCCGCCTGGTCCTATACCATCCTTATAATTGTTACGTTTAAGCCCATTGCTGCAGCCATTGTGTCAATGCTTTTATTTGGAGATCTCCCTATTTTTCACTAACCTTCCATTTTCCTAAACATAATCTCCTCCTTCTCCAAGGACTGGTCTTTCCTGATACTATGTCTGAAGTATGAGAGGTGATGTCTCACCATCCTAGCTTCTAAGAAGTGTCATGACTGCACTTCTTGAAAGACAGATTTGTTTGTTCCTCCGGCAGTCAATGGTACCTTAAATATTCTTCTCCAACACCATAATTCAAATGCATCAATTCTTCTACAGTCTTCCTTATTCATTGCTCAACTTTCACATGCATATGAATCAACAGAAAATACCACGGCTTGGGTTAGGTAAACCTTAGTTCTCAAACTGATATTTTTGCTCTTGAACATTTTAAAGAAGTATTCCACAGCAGATTTGCCTAATGAAATGCATCTTTTGATTTCTTAATTACTGCTTCCATGAGTGTTGATTGTGGATCCAGGCAAAACAAAATCTTTGACAACTTCAATCTTTTTTTTCTATTTATCATGATGTTGTTTATTGGTCAAGTTGTGAGGATCTTTGTTTTCTTTTTACCATTAAGGCTTGTAGTCTTTGACCTTCATCAGTAAGGATTTCAAGTTCTCTTCACTTCCAGCCAGCAAAATTGTATCATTTGCATATGGAAAGTTATTCATGAGTTTCCTCCAATCCTGATGCCATGTTCTTCATAAAATCAAGTTTCGCAGAGTATTTGCTCTGCACACAGATTGATTAAGTATGGTGAAAGTATACAACCCTGCCACACACTTTTCCTGAATTTAAATCATTAAGTATCCTCCTGTTCTGTTTAAACTACTGTCTCTTGGTCTATGTATAGTTTCCTCATGAGCACAATTAAGTGTTCTGGCATACCCATCTTCTGCAATGTTAGTCATAGTACGTCATAATCCAAACAGTCAAAAGTCTTTGCATATTCAATAAAGCACAAGTAAGCATCTTTTTTGGTATCATCTGCTTCCATATAAGATCTAACTGATATCAGAAATGATATCCTTAATTCTACATCCTCTTGTAAAACCATCTTGACTGTCTAGGAGTTTCCTGTTGAGGCATTGTTGCAAATATTTTAAAATTATCTTCAGCAAAGTTTTATTTGCATTTGATATTAATAATACTGTTTGATGGCTTCCACATTCAGTTCGGTTACCTCTCTTTGGAATGGACACAAATATGGAGCTCTTCTGATCAGTTAGCCAAGTAGCTGTCTTCCAAGTTTCTTGGCATAGATGAGTGCCTCCAGTGTTACATCTGTTTGTTGAAAGATTTTAATTTGTATCCCATCAATTTCTGGAGATTCATTTGGACTTCTTCCTTTAGCACCCTCAGTTTTTGTTCATGATATCTCTTGAAATAGTTGACTATCAGCCATTTCTTTTTGGTACCATTACTGTGTATTCCTTCCATCTTCTTTTGATGCTGTCTGTATCATTCAATATTTTGCCCATGGAATCCTTCAAAACTGCAAGTGAGGCTTTAATTTTGAATTTTCTATTCGGTTCTTTTAGCTTGAGAAATGTTGAGTGTGAACTCCCTTTTGATATTCTAAATCTAGGTCTTTGCACATTTCATTATAAAACTTGACTTAGTCTTCTCAAACTGTTCTTTGAAATTTTCTGTCCAGCTCTTCTGTTTCCATCTTTCTTATTTCAGTTCACTTTAGCTTCTCTACACTCAAGAGCAAATTTCAGAGTCTCTTCTGACGTCCAATTTGACCTTTTCTTTCTTCTTAATTACCTGTTCCTTTCTTCATGCTTGATGTTTGTGATGTCATCTCCCAATTCTTCTGATCTTCAGTCATTAGTGTGTGCTGCAAGAAATCTGCATGTAGGATGGTCTCTAAATTCAGGTGGGATATTTCCAAGGTCATATTTTTGACTCAGTTTTCTTCAGCTTTAGCCTTAACTTTCATACGAGCAATTGATGGTCTGTTCCACAGTTTGCGCCTGGTCTTGTTTTGCCTGATGATATTGAGTTTCTCCACTGTCTATTCCCAAGAAGTAGTCAATTTTATTCCTGTGTATTCCATCTGGAGTGGTCCATGTGTTCAGTCATCATTTATGCTGTTTTAAAAGGTATTAAAAGGAATTGCAGAATTTGATCATGCAATCTCCAGCATCATTTGTATCACCAAGGCCATGTTTCTAACTACTGATCCATACTCTTCGTTTCCAATCTTCACATCTCAATCACCAGTAACAATCAATGCATGTGGATTGCAAGCTTGATCGAATTTAGACTAAAGAAATTGATGTTGTTGTTGTTGTTGTTAGGTGCCATTGAGTCAGTACCGACTCATAGCGACCCTATGCACAGCAGAATGAAACACTGCCCGATCCTGGGCCAACCTTACTACTGTGGTCACGCTTGAGTCCATTGATGCTGTCACTTAGCCAATCCATCTCATGGGGGAATCTTTCTCTTTTTCTCTGACCCTCCACTTTACCAAACATAATATCTTTCTCCAGTGACTGGCCCCTCCTGAAATTGACAGAATTCATCAATTTCATCATCATTTGCTTTAGTGGTTGGTGCATAAATTTGAATAATAGTGGTATTAGCTGGTCTTCCTTATAGGTGTTTGGATATTATCCTATCCCAAACAGCACTATACTTCAAGAAAGATCTTGAAGTACTCTGTTTGATGATGAATACTATGCCACTTCTTGTCCATTTGTTGTTCCTGGCAGAGTAAGCCATATGACTATCATATTCAAAATGGCCAATACCAGTCCATTTCAGCTCACTAATATCTAGGATATCGATCTTTATGCATTCCATTTCATTTTTTACAACATCCAGCTTTTCTAGATTAATACTTTGTACATTCCATGCTCCAATTATTAAAAGATGTTTGCAGATGTTCCTCCTCATTTCGAGTAGGGCCCTATCAGAAAATGCAGGTCCCCAAAACTTTGCACCATTCATGTTATTATTGTCAAGTCTACTTTAGAAGAAAGCTCAGTCCCAATTATATTTTGAGTGCCTTACAACCTGAAGAGCTCATTCTCGGCCCCTACATCTAACAATGTTCTGCTACTATTATAATGTTTTCATCTTCAGACACCATATCTGACAAGGTTTTTAGAGAATGCAAGAGCATTCAGCCTCTTCCTCTGATTTTTATTCTTAGTCTGGAAGCTCCTGTGAAACCATGCATGGCCCTACAGATATTTAAAATACTGGTGTCATAGTTTCCAGCATCAGAGCAATATGCAAATCACCACAGTAGGATAAACTGACAGGCATTCATGGGAAAAATGTGTCCAGAGATCCAGAGAGGCAGTGACACCAAAGATGGAGGCAGAAATGAGGACATGAAGAGAGGGAGCAGCAGAGGACTGAGGATTCCAGACTCATGGAAAGAGAGGGAGTGGGTACTGGCAGCCAGAAGGCAAGCTTATAGAATGTGCTCTTTGGTTGTTTAAATTATTATATATTCTGAGTGTTTCTGTGTACAACCACCTCCCCACCCCCCAAAAAAAGGGAATGGAAGCAAATACTTTGAATGAGGATGAATGGAGGAGATTGTAATCATTGCAATGAAACAATGGTGTAATGCCAATGCTCTCCCATGTAAACTATCACTCAATTCACAATACAAGCAAAAGAATTATCTAACAAGTTGAAAGTATAATAGTCTCAGGATAGTAAGAATAAATTGACTCAATTTCTAATTCCTTGAAGAGCACCTGCTCTTAATTTCTAAAGATTTGTCATTGTGAAAGAGAAATATTAGAATATTTTGCATGCAAATTATGTTCTTTAAAGTTTGTTTATCATCATAAAATCTCAAATCATAACTATTTTTTGATTTATTAAGATGTTGCCCTCTTACATATTATGTAATTAGAGAACCCTTGGGCAGAGAAAAATAAATTGTCTTCCTGTTACTCCCCTCAACTCATCTGTCAGTTTGTCATTCTGTGGTGACTTGTGAGTTGCTATGATTCTGGGAGTTATGCAAAGGGTATTTGAAATACCAGCAGGGCACCCAAGATGAACAGATTTCAGATGAGATTCCAGACAAAGACAGACTAGTAAGAAGGAGAAATGAACTACTTCTGAATCTTTAGTCACTGAAAACCTAATGAATAGCAGAGAAACGCTGTCAGATATGGTACCAGAAAATGAGCTCCTCAGGTTGGAAGGCACTCAAAATGAGACTGGGGAAGAGCTGCCTTCTCAAAGTAGAGTTGATCGTGATAACGCAAATGGGGTAAAGCTCTCAGAAGTAAAGCCCTTAGGACCTTCATTTGCTGATGGGGCACAACTGAAAATGAAGAGCAACAGCTGTAAATGTCCATTAATAATCAGAACATGGAATAT